AATCTGGGTCCTTCCGGTCAATTTCCCGATCACGAAAGATAGCCACCTTATTATTAGATTTAGGTCTACCAACTGGCTCTTTTTCTGTCCTACTTCTAGCTGATCTACTGCTACTTGTTGAAGAATCAATCAGACCCCGCCCAGTATTCAAATCAGAACCGCCAGCTAAACTAGCTTTTTCTTCTAGCTGTGGTATGCCTATTGGACCATACTGGAAAGTATCCTGTGACCTTGATTCAGTTTCAGGTTTTACATTGGAGCTCCCACTTAAACTATTAGAGTTAAAAATACGTGCTCGAGCCCTATTATATTCCTCCTTTCTTTCCTCAACACTTTTGGCAGAATTTCCCTTTGATGAATTTGAATTTGAAGAACCTGCAAATTGTGAACCTTTCTGTGGCCTCTGCTTAATGGCAACCTTAACCACGCCAGTATCTCCTTGAGGCAAATTCACCGGGATGTCAGCCAAGCGAATCAAAGGCATCCGACATTCAGAAGTCTTGCGCACAATAATTCTGGAACCCGAGCCATCCGGTAGACTATTGTCCAGCAAAACCATTGATTGTAGTGAATAGTGCTGTGCCACACGGTGAGCAGCCAGTCGCAAATAGGAGGTAGGCAGCTGCTGGAATTCCATCTGCTGTCGGCCAGGGTCCCTGATAAACTTTTCAACATCCTGCTCCATCCTCAGAACTGAGAAAAGGTAATGAAAAATCACTATGTGCATGATAAAGAGAACTGACCCAACTAACAGAGAAACCCCCCACCCACCCCCCAACCAAAAAAAGAGATAAGGAAAAGGAAAAATGCAGACAGTGACATTTGAGACTAGTTATCTCAAAATGGAAACACAGGAAGAAGCAAGATAGTTGGGAAAAAAAGGCACGTAGAATAGAAAAAAGCACCCAAAGGTAAGTAAAAAGTAAAACAATGAATATTTTTATATAAGTGCATCATATTATTATGCGATGACCAAGAGCCTATGTCAGCATAACAGCTAGAGACTACATAACCGAGAATATATAATAGAGAAAATTGTGTTTTCTGATAGAAAAACGTTCAAGCTTCTTCTTTTCTTTTTACCTTCGAAAACTTGCCCTTTTCTGCTTTTAGATTACATAAAATGGTTCTATTTTCTCTCCTTTTTAGTGATAAGCAAAGACTTTCAATGATGTTTATCAGCACTAAGACGGCTGGAGTTGCACATGGTTGATGATGTAAGAACGAGCTGCTCCGGGAATTGCAGATCTCTAGAAGAGGCTATACAGTATGTGGACATCATCCAATACCAAAAAGCTATTCGAATTTGTACCTTTGCTTTACTACACATTCCTATTGCCCTCATACATTCCAGAATTCCTTTCCCTACAGATACCCACAAGATGCAAGGGGGGATGGTCTTGCATAATGGTTTAGCCTCTTTCTAAAGCTTACTGATCCAGCATTGCATCAACTTTGTGAGAGTTTTCGGCATTGTCCATTAGAGCTTAAAAAAGATCAAAGACATATTCCAAATTTTCCGGCTGGAAGTGCAAACCAAACAAGAGAAAATTGACGTCCTCAGATTCTTCTTCACATAAAGAGAATCCGCTGGAAATAGACAGGCCTTCTTTCTGCAAGGTGTTTGGAATTAAATAGGCCCTAAACAAGCAATCTGCAACCTTAAATAATGCCTGAGNCTTCTGAAGGTTACATCCCAACCTTGATTAGATATAAACTCTGCAATTATGGCCTTAGTATCTCCTGCACAACGGAGCAGCTCAGGGTGCTCTTCTAGAATTTTAGCGGGGCATGTCCTAAACAAGCATCTGCCTAGAATAGGAAATTTCTACAATCCCTGGTTTTGTATAGTGTGTACTCTAAAAGGTCCTCCGAAGCCTTTGATATGCTTCCATCCTCCTAACACTACATGGATTAGTTACAGGATTAGTGACAGAATGAACTTGCACCATATTTTCCTCTGACCAGTGGATTCCATATAGCATAATCCTGCCCACAGAGAAGTCCTTGAATCAGTTATGCAGCGTGACTTCTTTGACATCCTGCTTGGTTATTCCATTACTAGAATAAAAAGGAAGGACAGAAGGGATCACCTCGGCCCAGGCCCTTTTTTGAAGGAAAGAATCTCGTTGGTGTGCCATACATTTGAACTAACATTCCATCTATAGAGATGCACAAGTAAATCCAGTTGATCCATTGTTCTTCAACTCCCAAGTCTTTCAAAAGATGGTTAGAAACTTCCACTTAGCATGATCAGATACTTTTCCAATGTAGAGCTTAAACAGTTACAGTCTTATTTAGTGTCCTGGCATTATTCTACTCTGATTGCGGATTGACCTTGATGAAAGCTAACCAAGTGTCAGGTAAAAGCTTCCTAGTTACCTTCTTAGCCTCTTTGCAAGGCTTTCGGTAGAAGCTACCAGCCAAGCTTACTGCCCCGTATTCTTTCAGTTCCTTGGATCCACTCTTCTTTGTTTTAAAAAAAAAAAAGAAGTAAAGCTCCACTCTTCATTGAAATACATGCAACATGAAACGTAAAAAGTGCACTTCCCAAAGCTTTAACTTGGGTGGAAGCGTGGAAGGAATCGATAGCTCACTCTTCATTATATCCCAACTTTCAAATAAAATGATATGGTGGTCACCAAGGTCAGGTGCCTTGTCTTCTATGTGTTCTTTCACCACTGCAATGTCTTTGGATCCATTGTTTCTCCTCAACAGATATCTTCGCTATGCAGTAAAAAGAGACCAATAATGACAAAGACTGTTTTCAGGTTTTAGCAATCCGACATATGCATGCAATCTGAACTTGTAGTCATCCAACGGGGTCATCAGGGGAACAATCTCCTTCAACATGAAACTTGGTCCCACGGAGATGAAAGTTTCACTGCTTATCAGTTACCTCCATAGCAACCAATGCCTTGATCTTATTTTTTTCAATATAAGTATTACCTTACCTTCTAAAAAAAATAAGAGTGGCGTCCGAGCCTCATTGCACACACCACCTAGTACATACTACCTCCCACTAAGGCTTAGGCATAGAAAAAGTTCAGTTAGTGGTTTTTTGTGAACCATGGTCTCCCATGATTTTACACATTGCATAGACCGCCATACCCTTGGATGCAGCCAATACTCTAATCTCAAATTCAAACAATTAGAGACTCGGCAAGCTTTTCCAGAAAAATACACTATTTTTCAGTTCCTCTAATTTCTTTTATGAAGTAATATCAATATTCCTTTAGTTCCTAATTGTCCTCAATGCCTCAATTCCCTTTTCTTTCTACTAATACTGATAAGCAAAAGTACCAAATTTGTATCCTTCATACTAACTACCGGAGAGAAAGTGGATGCAGTTCACAGAGCAAAGCACCACCAGATACTGATTATAAAAGAATCTAGTCAATCTACCAAATAATCCGCAGCGTCATTTCAAGTTCTTACCAAATGGGTGATTTAACCAACTGAACTACAGCAGCTCTATTGTCATCTCATTAAGGTCTTACGATAATATGGCGACATTGCATTCATTTGGGATTCATATAACAGACCCCAACTAATTTACAATTCAGCTGTAGTTCACTGATTGACACAACTAAACAACAATGTGAATAATCACAAATCGAAACAAGGCACATCAGTAAAACACTAATTATAACGCAAATTAGCACAATAATCAGATTTTTTAAAAAGGGGAATACTAACCGGAAAGCCGCTCTCTAGGGTTTTGTAAAGCCTCACGAAGAAACTGATCGACGGTGTTAACCATATCCTCCGACACACCACCCGAACCAGCTCGGGCCAAAGCCGAAGACGAGGAATCAAGCAGCTCAGATTGATTACTATTATTATTGACAGAAGATTCGGAATCCTTTTTCGAAGAAGAAAGTATAAGCCGCCGCATACTAGCGTCCACGTCAGCTACCTCCCATGACTCCGGCGGGGCTCCGAGATCATCCGTAATAGCCACAGAGCCCTCCATAGGGTTCAATTTTTTAGCTCAAAAAAAAATTCAAAAAATTCAGAAAAAAAATCTAGGGTTTGTCCATGAAAGGAATCATTGAATCCAACCTAGATTTGAAAATTCGGAGAAATTTCATAGAGATTCAGAGAATCGAATCTAAAGGAGAGGAGAAAAACAGGACAAAACGGTTCTAGGGTTTCGAGAGAATGTGTGAGCGGAGAGAGAGAGGGTTTGACGAATTATAAATTGTTTTCTTTTGCGTTGCTTCGAGGGTATGCTAATTCACGGCGAGTAATATGCACTTTCATAAATTGAGAGTGGGAGTTTGCTAAGGGGTTTGTTGTTTCGGAAATATGCTTATTTTTGGGGAATGTGATATTTTTGCAAAAACAAAAAGGAGTGGATGGAATCCGACTGCTGGGTCGGAAAAAAGAATCGGGACTAATGTGGATGTGGCAATGACAAGTCATTAAGGGAGTGGGCCGCTTCGATCAAAATTCAAAAAGATTGTACGGCTGCTTATCGGACGGATTGAACGGTTATTTACTCTTAACGGTTTAGTTTATCGGCTGTCGATTTTTAAATGTATTAATCCGCTAGCCATCCGATAAAATATCGGGCGGATTGGTATCGATTTAGTTCCTATCGGGCGATTTATCGGCCTAATTCAATTTATACTGCGTGCATTAATCTATATTGTGTCCATTACATCCCAAAGTAGACTACATTAACGCCTACTGTTAACGCCTAGCATATGCCTATTGTTAACGCCTATACATACCGTTAGAGTCTTAGAGACACAGATGGATTCTAATTTAATCCTAGAAAATGCAATACATGAAAGACAAGTTGTAGTAGCTTCATAATGCTTACTTCAGAAGTTAGCACTAATATACATTTTCATTGTTGTGTATTTTAACACAAAATCCAGTTAGACTTAATAGGAAATAAGCAAATACACTAGAAGTCATACCGAAGTATTGGGATTCTAAATGTCACCAATGATTTGTGATGGTTAGTTCATAGCTCTAGATTTTAATCTAGGACTATTAAAGAGGCTGAATTTGGCAAAAGAATCACTGTGTATAAGCTAGCCCAAGATCCCGATTCTCGGCCATTCAGTTTGCTTATCATACTATCTTTAAGCTCTTATCTAATTTTCTTAACTCACACTTAGCATCTACTGCCTAACAACTAGCATTAATATAAATCACATATTTTTAGAACCACAAAATCAAATTTAATTGTAATTACCATTTTCAAGGTAAACAGTTTGGCGTCCACCGTGGGGCCAAAAATAATAGTGATTGTTTTTGTGCTGGTTTACTGAAAACACCAGTTATTCTTTATATTTTTTCTTGCCCAAGAATCTTTGATTTCAGGTCAAAATGTCCAACTCAGTGAATGCACATGAAAACAACGGTCTTGAAGACCATGGAGAGAATGGTGTAGTTGTTCCAGGCGTCGTGTACCACTGCGAAACCCTGAGGATGCACCAGAGCCAATCCCAGTAGATGTGGTCTCATGCAATGCCCAACATGTCGATATAAGCTCCCACACAAACGGGAGTATACGCCAAGAAAACCAACAAGAAGCTCAGAAAACCCCAGCTCGAGAGGAACAAGAGGTTAGCCTTCACGTCATTTTTGAGATGTTGCAGGAACAACAGCTGGTGATTGCTCAACTACAAAGCCACCAAAAAACTCCAAGCACAATAGCACCGGAAGCGGCTCCTTGAGCCGAACAGGTACCAGAAAGATCGAGCAACAACGGGTCAGCAGCCGACCTTGCTATCATGAAGATGCTCGAGGACCTTACAAAGAGGATTGAATCGGGCGAAAAGAAGATAGAAGCTAATGATAAAAAGGTGGAGACCTACAATTCAAGGGTTGACCAGATTTCGGGCGCACCCCCGATCCTAAAGGGTGTTGATTCAAAGAAATTCGTACAAAAGCCATTCCCATCAAGTGCGGCCCCGAAGCCCATCCCGAAGAAATTCAGAATGCTCGATCTCCCGAAGTACAACGGAATCTCGGATCCCAACGAGCACGTCACTGCTTACACTTGTGTCGTAAAGGGAAATGACCTAAAGGACGACAAAATTGAATCTGTCCTGTTGAAGAAATTCAGGGAAACACTTTCAAAAGGGCCCATGATGTGTATCAGAACCTATCCCCGAATTCGATTGACTCATTCACAATGCTGGCATATTCTTTTATAAAGGCACATGTTGGTGCCATCAAGGTTGCTACAAGGAAGTCTGACGTCTTCAAAATCAAACAGAGAGAAAACGAGATGTTGTAGGAGTTTGTATCTCGCTTTCAAATGGAACGAATGAAGTTACCACCGGTCTCCGATGACTGGGCAGTGCAGGCCTTTACCCAAGGTTTGAATGAACGAAGCTCGGTAGCTTCGAAGCAGCTAAAGCAAAACTTGGTCGAATATCCCGCCGTGACTTGGGTTGAGGACGACCAACTGGGAGCCCCCTCGAGCTGAGTATATCCTAGCAGGCTCCTGGAAAAGGAGCCAAAACCAAACAAGGAAAGGTACCAACCATATACTGAAGATCGAAGAAATGCCCCAAGGCGTAACATACCCCAAAACGACCGAAGGGCAGACTGAGGTCAGAATCCTCGGGGACTCGTGAGTAAAGCCGGATTCGATAGATACACAAGGCCGACGGAGGCACCCCGATTATCTGAGTACAACTTTAACATCGATGTTTCAGACATCGTATTAGCCATAGGTTAAATTAGAGACACCGGGTGGCCAAAACCTGTACTATCAGATCCGTCGCAAAGGAACCCTAACCTGACGTACGAATTTCACGGAACACATGGTCATAGGACCGAAGATTGCAGACAGTTCCAAGAAGAAGTAGTCCGACTACTTAACAAGGGGAACCTTCAAGAGTTCCTCAGGGACCGAGCAAAAAATCAATTTCGGAAAAGAGAGGCAAATAGGAAAAATAAAATAGAAGAACCACAACATGTCATCCACATGATTGTTGGGGGAGTCGACATCCCACAGGAACCCATTGTCAAACGAACAAAAATATCCATCACCAAGGAAAAGCGAACTCGAGGTTACATACCTGAGGACGCTCTCACATTCAGCAACGAGGACGTCGAGACTCTGTCTCAGCCTCATAACGACGCATTGGTAATTTCTTTTCTTGTGAAGACATTTCAAATTAAACGTGTGCTTGTGGATCCAGGTAGCTCGGCCAACATTATCAGGTCGAGGGTGGTGGAGAAGCTCGGACTGCTCGACCAGATCATGCCCGCCTCTCGAGTCCTCAACGGATTCAATATGGTGAGCGAGACAACGAAAGGGGAAATCACATTCCCGGTCAACATGGCCGGCATAACCCAAAACGTTAAGTTTCATGTCATCGAAGGAGACATGAGATACAATGCCTTACTCGGAAGACGATGGATACACTGCATGAGAACATTACCACTAACCCTTCATCAAATGATGAAGTTTCCAACGAAGGACGGAATAAAAACGGTATACGGGGAGCAGTACACAGCAAGAGAGATGTTCGCAGTGCACGATGTGGCACCGACATCGACGCCTTCAACATCGAAGGAGCCAAAGGATAAGCAAACAATGAAGTAACAATTGCAAGCTACATTCTCGGTCGTATCCAAGTAAATAAGTGAAGGATCGTACCGCATCCCTGAAGCGAGCCGTTGAAGCATATCGAGGCTCGGGCGCCATCACAACTAAGGTATAAGCGTCTCCCTTTTAATTTATGTCTTACACTAACCTCTGTGCAGGCGTCCGGTTAAGAAAAATCGAAGCACCTTCCAACTTGAAGACCTTAGGTTTTAACGTATGCATTGCACTCTTTTCCTTCGATCAGATTTTATCCCAAGAAGGGTTTTACCGGCAAGGTTTTTAACGAGGCAACATCTATATGCTACCTAAGGAGAACTCAGCAAGTATTCAAGGCTTTTCTTCAATCAACCTCGAATACTGGGAGCGTCCCCCCCAGGAGATCATCTCCTTGAAGAATTCAAGACGAGCCAAAAAGGGTCTTAATAGAAAAATGATGTATCGGGCAAACGGTCAAAAGAACCGTGTCCCATAGAACAATCGAACCCTCAGTGGCGAAAACTATGTATATTTGTACCAAGTAATCAAGGAATATTTTTCGAATTTTTACCATCAAAACACTCTGCGCTTCAAAGAAGTTTGCTATTTTTACAAGAAATGGCCCCAGGGCCGCTCGAAGCCATAAAACCTCCGGGCCGGAAACTTAGAGCTCATAAGCCCTCAATGAGGCAACATCAATAAAACGGCTCCAGAGCCAAAAACTCTTGATGCCTCGAGGATTGTCGTCGACTATCACCGCATCGATCAAAACTCGAGGCCGTAAGACACCAAGGGGGCGACCTCGAGCCCGAAAGACCTCCATAAGGCAATGCCAAATCTGTAAGACCTCAAGCAAGCATGAATTATACTTGTACCAAGTAACCTATCTATAAGACCTCAAGTAAGGCATGTTCAAATTTATAAGACCTTACAAAAGGCATAATCCCGATCTTAAAGTCACGGAATATGCCATTAAATGGAGGGAGCAAGCGGCCAGAGTTAAGCCACCCATGGATGAACACGAGTTAATCACTGTCTTCCTTCAGGCTTAAGAGCCAGATTATTTTTAAAACATGATGTTCGCTGTCACACCTCCTTTTTCCTACACCCCCGTAAAGGGGTGTGTAAGGGAGTTCTTTTCCAACTTAAAGTGACAATCGAAACGGGATTATTTATTAAAAGATTCAGAGTCGCCACTTGAGAGATTTATGGTGTCCCAAGTCACCGGTTCAAATCCTGAATCGAGGAAAGGATTGACTCTGTATTACAGTCCGCGAACCAAAAATTCGGGTAAGAAATTCTATTAACTCGGGCGAAGGTGTTAGGCATTCCCGAGTTTCGTTGTTCTAGCACGGTCGCTCAACTGTTATATTCGGCTTAATTATATGATTTAAACAATTATGAACCTATGTGCAAATTTTAGTTTTAACCGCTTTTATTCATTCTTAAAGGAAAATTGCAATGTCACTCAAAATACACTTCGAACCACGTCACATAAATGCACTCGCGGCTCTCGACATATTTTATCTAACATTGTTGAGATTTGGATTTGGGTCACATAAATGCGCACCCGAGTTTAGGAAGGTAAATTATTAAAATAACGCGCCTAAGGCAACTACGCGTTTGCAACTTTGCGAGGGCCACGGAAAATTCGCTAAATGGCACGCCTCGGTTTCTAAGGATAAAACAAAAAAATCAATTAAACGAGGG